CATGCGGACCCCCCCCCATGCCTTGGTAGCCCAATGGTACCCTTTACTCGTTTTTTTTATTTGGGGGGGGGGGGGGGTGTTCAAGGTTCCCTTATATAGTAACCAACCCCCCCAAACAGGGGTGCCCTTATGATAATATGGTTCCTGGGCTACCAAGATGTGGAAATACCCTAAACCCTAAACCCTAAACCCTAAACCCTAAACCCTAAACCCCAAACCCTAACCCTAAACCCGGAACCCTGAACCCTAAACCCTCAACCCTCAACCCTCAACCCTAAACCCTAAACCCCCATAGGATTCCTTTTGGGGCTTCCTGAGGCCGCCACGAGCTCCACCAGCTCCACCACCTCCACCAGCTCCGCGCGGGACGCGGCGCCCGCCACCACCAGCGCAGCCACCACCTCCCAGGCCGGAACTTCGAAAGGCGTAGGGTTTAGGGTATTTGGGGTATTTGGGGTATTTGGGGTATTTAGGGTATGTAGGGTATTTAGGGTATGTAGGGTATTTGGGGTTTAGGGTTTAGGGTTAGGGTTTAGGGTATTTGGGGTATTTGGGGTATTTGGGGTATTTAGGGTTTTTAGGGTTTTCAGGGTATTTAGGGTATGTAGGGTATTTGGGGTTTAGGGTTTAGGGTTAGGGTTTGGGGTATTTGGGGTATTTGGGGTATTTGGGGTATTTAGGGTTTTTAGGGTCTTTAGGGTATGTAGGGTATTTAGGGTATGTAGGGTATTTGGGGTTTAGGGTTTAGGGTTAGGGTTTAGGGTATTTGGGGTATTTGGGGTATTTGGGGTATTTAGGGTTTTTAGGGTTTTCAGGGTATTTAGGGTATGTAGGGTATTTGGGGTTTAGGGTTTAGGGTTAGGGTTTGGGGTATTTGGGGTATTTGGGGTATTTGGGGTATTTAGGGTTTTTAGGGTCTTTAGGGTATGTAGGGTATTTAGGGTATGTAGGGTTTTGGGGTGGGTGTAGGGTATTTAGGGTATTTAGGGTATTTAGGGTTTTAGGGTTTTCAGGGTATTTAGGGTATTGGGTACCATGGGGCTCTCCATCTTCCGGGATGTTTAGGGTTTAGGGTTTAGGGCTTAGGATTTAGGGTACGGGTTGAGTATGCAGGAAATCTTGCCCGCACATGAGTACTTCTTTGCGTCCCTTTATAGTACGGCACCTTGTAAGCAGGACCACCACAAAGGGACCCTAATTCAGAGAACTACCACACTTGTTGTACTCAGAAACCGACCCTAAACCCTAAACCCTAAACCCTAAACCCAAAACCCAAAACCCAAAACCCAAAACCCTAAACCCTAAACCCTAAACCCTAAACCCTGAACCCTAAACCCTAAACCCCGAACCCCAAACCCCAAACCCTAAACCCCAAACCCTAAGCCCTCCATTTAACTTGCCGGGACGCAGGGGAGCAGCACAAGCTCCAATGTGACCGAGCTGCTCGGGCTGATCAAGGCGAAACTGTCCAGAGTTTGCAGATGGGTTACTTGGAGGTTCATGAAGTATAACTGTACTTATCATCCACTTGTTAAGCTACTTAAGCCTCTCAACTGCGCTAATGTGGTGATAAATGGGCTATAGGTGCAATTACTATTTGGTTAGCAAGTACCTTGAACCTCCAAGTATTTTCCAGGGCCGTGCGCTGAAGGTCGTTGACCCCCCCATTCGTTGAAGGCCATCGTTACTGCCCCACTTGGGCGCTGCCTGCCATTCGGGCGTTCGGGCGTTTCCGAAACTAGGGGTACCCTTTTTGTGGGTTTCCTATATAAAGGGTTATCATGCTTTGGGGGTACTATGTACGGAAGACATGTCATGTGAAATGGATCGTTTCAGCCGCCTACAAGGGCCTAAAGACAAAAGACTCTTTGGCCTATGAATGGCAAAGTATCTGGACCTTCCCTCCACGGTACCTAATCCGATATCCTCAAACCCTCTGCCTAAGCCCTGCCCGGGAAGTAAGACCTCCAGAGCAATCCTTCTCCCCTCTCTTAGCCTTGCAGGCCCTGAACCCAGAACCCTTAACCCGTGTTGAACATGTGTTTTTGAGGGGAATTTGGGGCTAGACCCCTTAGACGGTGCGCACGGGATGAAATGGAAAGACAGGCCATCTGCAATCAGGCAACCGTAGACTAGATCACCGGAGTTTCGGGTTTTCAGATACTTCAGGGAAGTTACATGGTCCCCCAATGTGGTCTCTTATACCATGAAGGGTCCTCATTATGAAAGGACCATGTAACTACCCCATGAAGATAGGCTTTCGTCAGCCTTCGTTCTAAACCCTAAGCCCTAAGCCCTAAACCCTAAACCCTAAATCGGCAGGACGACGACGTGCCGGCTCCGACGGATCCCAGAGCGGGCGAGTTGGATGCACCACAGGCCGGGTCAACTCGGCAGCGAGACTGAGATTGACTTCTGAACCCTCAACCCTACACCCAGAGCTCTGAGTGAAGCCTAGACAAAGAATCAAGCTGCCCAAAGCAGCTGTCGCGTTCGCGCGTGCGCGCTCGCACGGGTGTGTATGTGTGTGTGAGAGAGAGAGAGAGAGAGCGAGAGAGAGCTGCTCTGGGCCGTATGTGCAGGTTCAGGTCCTTCCAGCAGTGCTCCCTCTTCTCATGTAGCCTGGAAGTTGCCATGGCTTCCTGAATCCTGAGCCACATAAGATTAAGCCCTTAACCAACCCGAAACAACCGGATAGAAACCACGTATAACTCCATATAAGACCTTATAAAAGATATCTAAGCCCGAAAGCCTCAACTACCCCTCCGCAACCTCAGGGGACTCCCCTGGTTGCTGTGGGACTCGGTGCCGCCGCAGCGGGACCCTCAGGCATCCAGGCGTAGGGTTTGATGATCGAAAGGCCGGGACTTTCAAGAATATATATGTATATATATATATATAAATACACATATCTATGTACACGTAGTAAATAAAACAATAAATAGACAAATAAAGAAATAAGCTTGAAATAATATAGCAACACTAATCCCAACCATGTGAGTGTTTGTGAATGTTAAGCATTGAAGAACAATCGGATATCCATCTATTGGAATATTGCCGCGGGAGAGTATAAACAACAACAGGTATGGATACAGGAGTAAGCTTTTGGTGGAAAGGCTGTTGGAAGAAATGCGGGAGAGGGCTTGAAGTAGAGACTAGACAGGCAAGCTGCGTAGCAACATTGCAGCCCAAAGGACATATCATGCTCTATCCCAGACGGTGGATGGACGATGGTGCTGCTCGTTGCTGGTGTCATTGCTATAGTGCCCATTAAAGGTAGTTTTTGCCAAGCTGTATGTGGCTCCCGACCGAAGTTGGACAATTCTTTGATTAACCCGGATGAAGGCCTGCTTCACTACTGGGAGGTTTATGGCACTTATTAACCCAACTATACTTGTACTCATACCCAACTAGAACCAAGCAGGACAGGGGCAAAGCCACACAACAACCACACAGCAAGCGCTGCAAACAGGATAGGGGCAAAGCCACACAACAACCACACAGCAAGCGCTGCAAACAGGATAGGGGCAAAGAAACACAACAACCACACAGCAAGCGCTGCAAACAGGATAGGGGCAAAGCCACACAACAACCACACAGCGAGCGCTGCAAACCGGATAGGGCCAAAACCAGGCAGCAGCCACACAGCAAGCGCTGCAAACAGGATAGGGGCAAAGCCACACAACAACCACACAGCAAGCGCTGCAAACAGGATAGGGGCAAAGCCACACAACAACCACACAGCAAGCGCTGCAAACAGGACAGCGGCAAAGCCACACAACAGCCACACAGCAAGCGCTGCAGACAGGATAGGGGCAAAGCCACACAACAGCCACACAGCAAGCGCTGCAGACAGGATAGGGGGAAAGCCACACAACAACCACACAGCAAGCGCTGCAAACAGGATAGGGGCAAAGCCAGACAGCAGCCACACAGCAAGCGCTGTAAACAGGACAGGGGCAAAGCCATACAACAACCACACAGCAAGTGCTGCAAGCAGGATAGGAGCAATGCCGCACAACAACCACACAGCAAGCGCTGCAAACAGGATAGGGGCAAAGCCACACAACAACCACACAGCAAGCACTGCAAACAGGACAGACGGCAGCCACACAGCAAGCGCTGCAAACAGGATAGGGGCAAAGCCACACAACAACCACACAGCAAGCGCTGCAAACAGGATAGGGGCAAAGCCACACAACAACCACACAGCGAGCGCTGCAAACAGGATAGGGGCAAAGAAACACAACAACCACACAGCAAGCGCTGCAAACAGGATAGGGGCAAGGCCACACAACAACCACACAGCAAGCGCTGCAAACAGGATAGGGGCAAAGCCAGACAACAACCACACAGCAAGCGCTGCAAACAGGATAGAGGCAAAGCCACACAACAACCACACAGCAAGCGCTGCAAACTGGATAGGGGCAAGGCCACACAACAACCACACAGCAAGCGCTGCAAACAGGATAGCGGCAAAGCCAGGCAGCAGCTACACAGCAAGCGCTGCAGACAGGATACGGGCAAAGCCAGACGGCAGCCACACAGCAAGCGGGCAATGTCAGACAGCAGCCACGCAGCAAGCGCTGCAAAGAGGACAGGGGCAAAGCCACATAGTGTAGAAGGCAAGGTAGGTAGATAAGTATGTAGGTAGATAGATGATAATATGTAGACAGTCAAAAAGATCGACAGACGGACACATAAAGAGGTAGGTAAGGAGATAGGCAGGCTAGATAGGTAGATAGATCGAGAGACAGACAGACAGACAGACAGACAGACGGATACGCAGATAGACAGAGTGTTCGTTGGATATCCTACCCTGCAGTGCCGACCGGCACACATCTGTCTTAGCTGTAAGAATGCTTAACGCGAGCAATCCGTACTAATTACCGCCGGTGGGACACACGCAGACTTGCTTTGCAACCTTTGTTTGCTGCTCTGATGGCAGATAAAGCTTGTCCATCCCCTGTGCAAAGCCATCAGTAGCTTGTTTCGCAGCCATGGGGGCTGCGTTGCAGCGTATAGAAGAGCTGCACGCGTCCGCGCCCTTCAAGCTCCCTCCTTTGCAGAAGCCAGACGGGTATGATCAACGAATAAGCGCATGCCGAGAGCTGGGGATGACTTTCCACGTGAGCATGTCCAAGGACGTTTTCAGCTCGCAAGGACTTTCAAGGGAGGGTTTCCACGAGCTCCTCCGTGAAAAAATAACCGAGGCCGATCTGCGCCTCCAAGATCTCAATCTCAAGTTGAAAGAACCAGAAGAAGCAGAAGCACGAAAAGAGCCCACTTTTCACCGTCTCCGCAGATTGTTCTCCAATATCTTTGGAGAGTCGCTGTGGTTGGCTGAGCGAGCTGACTTGACAGAGAAGCGCCAGCAATGGCAAGCGTGGATCAACAAGACGTCCGTGGCCGACACTTACAGCAAAGTCTGCGTTGAAGACTCTTCTGTTTATTTGTCCAGCACCGGCGGGACTAGCCTACAGGTGAAGTTTGTGGGCTTCAAGATGAACGAAGATGACAAGGTCCAATTCGTCCAAGCTGACTTCTCTGGTGGTTGCCAGATTCAAGTCGCTCCGAAGAATTGGGATGCCGATGGCGGGATAAAGGCACTTAAGGCCATCTCTACTCTTGGAATCTGGAATTTGGTGAACCACTTCGAAGACACGGCTCAGAAGTCTCGAGAAGACGAGGCCCTCGCACAGTTGATGAGCCCCGGCATCATGCGATACTACGTGGTTGCACATAGTGAAAACACGTTCTTGCAGGAAGGCATCTCCTGGAAGTGTGACTCAAATGGTTTGCTGAAGATTCTTGCGGCTGTGGCCTAAGGCCTGATGAGAGGTGAGAGGTGGATCGTGTCAGAGCAACATTCTGATCAGCGTATTCCGTCCTTCATGCTGGTAAGTGCATTCAACTGTGTGTTGTTTGGGGGGCTTCTTGTTGGCCACTTTGAATATCTGCTCTGAGATCACGATTGCACCGTGTTTTTTTTCAGACGGCAGTTTGGTTTGGCTTGCGTCCAATCTGTCCATACAAGTTTCTTGAGCTTGCGATGCGCGCCTGACAAGCGCTCGGAGCGTCGAGGCATATGCTGTTCTTAGCAAACACGTGCATTCTTGAGCAAAAGCGTGCGCCTGCGTAGGCTGGACTCAATAGCCAGTACTTGTAGTAACAAGAGTTTGCTGCCGCCCACCGCTAAGCATCAACTTGCTCTCCACGACTCGCCACAGCTCATGCTCAGTGCAGTAACGTAGGTGGACGTCTCAACTCCGCTAACTTTCAGCAAGCAGCATGTCCGATTCGGCGGTGGCCTCCCCTGCTGTGTTCAGATATCCCAGTCCTGCTGCGCTGAGCCTGACCCAAACGAGAAGCCTGGAGATGGTTTCCAGAGCCTTCGACGAGTTCAACATTGTGAATGCATTGCTCAAGGTGGACATGGAGGACTGGACCGTCAAACCGGAGAAATGGGAATCGTTCGTGACACGATATGCGGATGGGTTGGAAGATGCAGCGGACCGGCGCCGCGTGCTCCTGTGACACCTGTGGTTAGATGCCGAATCGGGCAAGAAGGCCGGCGTCAACATCAACCCCGACTACAATGAAAAAACGAACACCTTCGACTTCACGGTTCGTGCGTTCAAGGAAATGGAAGATGGCAAGTTCCGAGTTATGGAAGGCAAAGTGAAATCGATTTACAAGGTCAGGCACAAGGACATCAAGCGGGGACTCTTTGGAGCTGTCAAAGACTTCTTTACGGGCACGGTGGCGGGTCACGAGACTGAGCAGGACAAGCGGGATGAGCTAGAGACAAACCTTCATGCTGCATTGGCAGATAGCACTGTCTTGAACGCGTACATCGGTGCTAACTTTCAGCACTTCCTCAAGGGAGTCGGCATCGAGTGCGAGGCGGTTGATTCGGTGAGGCAGCTGGACCCGCCGGCTGAGGCCTAAGGCCTGATGAGAGGTGAGAGGTCGATCGTGTCAGGGCAACATTCTGATCAGCGTATTCCGTCCTTCATGCTGGGAAGTGCATTCAACTGTCTGTTGTTTGGGGGCTTCTTGTTGGCCACTTTGAATATCTGCTCTGAGATCACGATTGCACCGTGTTTTTTTCAGACGGCAGTTTGGTTTGGCTTGCGTCCAATCTGTCCATACAAGTTTCTTGAGCTTGCGATGCGCGCCTGACAAGCGCTCGGAGCGTCGAGGCATATGCTGTTCTTAGCAAACACGTGCATTCTTGAGCAAAAGCGTGCGCCTGCGTAGGCTGGACTCAATAGCCAGTACTTGTAGTAACAAGAGTTTGCTGCCGCCCACCGCTAAGCATCAACTTGCTCTCCACGACTCGCCACAGCTCATGCTCAGTGCAGTCACGTAGGTGGGCGTCTCAACTCCGCTAACTTTCAGCAAGCAGCATGTCCGATTCGGCGGTGGCCTCCCCTGCTGTGTTCAGATATCCCAGTCCTGCTGCGCTGAGCCTGACCCAAACGAGAAGCCTGGAGATGGTTTCCAGAGCCTTCGACGAGTTCAACATTGTGAATGCATTGCTCAAGGTGGACATGGAGGACTGGACCGTCAAACCGGAGAAATGGGAATCGTTCGTGACACGATATGCGGATGGGTTGGAAGATGCAGCGGACCGGCGCCGCGTGCTCCTGTGACACCTGTGGTTAGATGCCGAATCGGGCAAGAAGGCCGGCGTCAACATCAACCCCGACTACAATGAAAAAACGAACACCTTCGACTTCACGGTTCGTGCGTTCAAGGAAATGGAAGATGGCAAGTTCCGAGTTATGGAAGGCAAAGTGAAATCGATTTACAAGGTCAGGCACAAGGACATCAAGCGGGGACTCTTTGGAGCTGTCAAAGACTTCTTTACGGGCACGGTGGCGGGTCACGAGACTGAGCAGGACAAGCGGGATGAGCTAGAGACAAACCTTCATGCTGCATTGGCAGATAGCACTGTCTTGAACGCGTACATCGGTGCTAACTTTCAGCACTTCCTCAAGGGAGTCGGCATCGAGTGCGAGGCGGTTGATTCGGTGAGGCAGCTGGACCCGCCGGCTGAGGCCTAAGGCCTGATGAGAGGTGAGAGGTCGATCGTGTCAGGGCAACATTCTGATCAGCGTATTCCGTCCTTCATGCTGGGAAGTGCATTCAACTGTCTGTTGTTTGGGGGCTTCTTGTTGGCCACTTTGAATATCTGCTCTGAGATCACGATTGCACCGTGTTTTTTTCAGACGGCAGTTTGGTTTGGCTTGCGTCCAATCTGTCCATACAAGTTTCTTGAGCTTGCGATGCGCGCCTGACAAGCGCTCGGAGCGTCGAGGCATATGCTGTTCTTAGCAAACACGTGCATTCTTGAGCAAAAGCGTGCGCCTGCGTAGGCTGGACTCAATAGCCAGTACTTGTAGTAACAAGAGTTTGCTGCCGCCCACCGCTAAGCATCAACTTGCTCTCCACGACTCGCCACAGCTCATGCTCAGTGCAGTCACGTAGGTGGACGTCTCAACTCCGCTAACTTTCAGCAAGCAGCATGTCCGATTCGGCGGTGGCCTCCCCTGCTGTGTTCAGATATCCCAGTCCTGCTGCGCTGAGCCTGACCCAAACGAGAAGCCTGGAGATGGTTTCCAGAGCCTTCGACGAGTTCAACATTGTGAATGCATTGCTCAAGGTGGACATGGAGGACTGGACCGTCAAACCGGAGAAATGGGAATCGTTCGTGACACGATATGCGGATGGGTTGGAAGATGCAGCGGACCGGCGCCGCGTGCTCATGTGGTTAGATGCCGAATCGGGCAAGAAGGCCGGCGTCAACATCAACCCTGACTACAATGAAAAAACGAACACCTTCGACTTCACGGTTCGTGCGTTCAAGGAAATGGAAGATGGCAAGTTCCGAGTTATGGAAGGCAAAGTGAAATCGATTTACAAGGTCAGGCACAAGGACATCAAGCGGGGACTCTTTGGAGCTGTCAAAGACTTCTTTACGGGCACGGTGGCGGGTCACGAGACTGAGCAGGACAAGCGGGATGAGCTAGAGACAAACCTTGCCGGTGACCATGTCGTTTGACCTCAACGCCTCTACTACAGTGAACTTCTCCGGGAATGTGCACCTGCATGGATGGCTATCCCACAGCTTCTCGGGGCAGAGTGGCAGCAAGCTCTTCCTGACGTCCAGGGCCAGACAGTTCAGCTCGATGGTCGTGTTGGTAGGCAGAGTTACTTCGGCGACCACCTTTGACCCAACCTATGCGGCCATCGTGCAGAACAAGGATGAACTCACCATACCGCTGGAGCTGTCAGTCATTCCTACGCCGAAGGAGTTCAAGGATGCAATCGCCTCCCTATCCCCGGAGCAGCAAGCGTTTGCAAAAGCTTTCCGAGCAACTTGCACTGACAGGTCACAGTGCAGGTTCCTCAGGAGCTGGACGAGCAGTTTGAGAAGCTGGACTCCTGCTCCTGCATTCTTCCGACCTGGATTTGAGCTTGCATGAGATGCCCTTATCGTCAGCTCCTTAAGTCGTTTAAGTCATGCCCGCGACCTGCCAGGACCCGGACAGCGCGCTGCGCCCGACGATTATCAACCCAGGCGCTTGTATCTGGTGGCTCCCAACCTAAAACAAAGAGACGCCTTCTGTGACCTTGCGCTTTGCCACGCGAAACGCCTCAGACAGATTCGCCAACACACCCATGTGAGCACGTGAGTCAGTCAGGCGGAAGCACGCGTGAAGCTTGCAGCGGTCACTGAAACCCGACAGGAAGCACATGGAGCAAGACATCTCAGAAGTCTTTGCTATCACAGCCGGCCACGTCGAGTCTCAGCACTGACGACCAGAAGCGCGAGAAGGATGGCAGCTCCACCTGAATGTCTTGCGGTCCGGATGTGTCCGGGATGTTGGCGTGTTATCTGCCGGCTGACATTGAGCTCTTGTTTTCGCTGGATATGTGGGGGAAAGTGGAATTCCGAAACCCCAAAAAGGTCTCCTGGTGCCAGTTAAAAGGAGTAATGTGCTAATTGAAAGGAGTTCGGCTTGGCTGCATTTGCCCCTGCAGCCGCAGGATGCAGCTTTCGATCTGCTTGACGCCATAACGAAGCAGCTTGGAATGCACAGTCCGGATCGTTGACCGGGCAAGTTGGCAGTTGGGAAGTGACCGCAAGCGAAATCAGCAGCAGCAAGCCGCGAGCTTGAAAATAGCTCAGTCTGCAACTTCCACCAGCAGAATATCGGAGTTCCCTGACACTTTCACTCGTTTCTTCTTCTTCTTCTTCTTGTATTGAGCAAAGTGTAGCAAAGCGTGCCGAAGCCTCGTTCATCCTCGATCATGTCCACATCTTGGTATAGCTTGAAGCATTGTAAATTGAGTTTTTTGCCACCTAGATCGGGAGCTCTGGAGCTCAGCCACGCCACACTCCACATCGTCATCGCGGCGACGCATTGTGGCTGGGCGATCGTTTGAAGTCATGGCCCCCTATTTGCTGGGCCGCATTTTATATACACAGGCAAGTATATTTACATACACATACGTATGTATATAGATTTTTTCTATTTAACACGTACATTTGTTTTAATGCAGGAGCAAATGCCAAGCCAAGTGTCTTCCAGTCTACCATTGCAGTGCTCTGTGGACCAAGGCTTTGACAAAACGGTTACGGAGTGTGCCATCCAGGACTGCTGGGAAGTCAGTGCGCTGTTCCAGCTTCTGGTTTGGCAAAGTTCGGTTGATTAGGGCAAAGTTCGGTTGATTAGGGCTGCGAGGCGTTGAAATGCAAGAGATGACGCCTTGTGCGTCGAAGCGACAACATCATTGGATTCTCTGTTGTGGTCTGAGACAAGGTCGTTCTAAGAATCACTTCGCAAAGACTGCCCGGTTTGTTGCCAAACCGCAACTCGTGCATGTTTAACTGAGCAGCTAAGTGATACTAAATGTTGTCGTGCCCGCGCTTTGTGGGGACTGAGTACCTTTGGTAGCTTCCCCGCAAACACACGAGCTTGTGATGCCAGATAAATTTGGTCGCGCACGCCTTGGTGGGGAAGCAACATTTTTGTTGCGCAGCATGTTCTGGGCGATACTGGTGCTGGCTTGCTATGTCTGTAGCCATGAGGTGCGAGGCATTCAGGCTTCAAAAAAACAAACCTGAGCTATTGAAGTATTAACAACGAATAATCGTAGCAGTAATGGCATTATGGATCTATATGTAAAAGGTTTATCTCGATCTTTATATTGCATAGATCACTCTCTCTGCAGTATGTATACATGCGCACCAAGTCCCCTGCACCCGTCTGTCGCTGGAAAATGCATCAATCATTAGATCATCTCATTTCAATTAGCTTATGCCAGCCCTTCGTCCAGGACAACGTGAGCCCGATAGAACGAGTGGCGCGGTCCTCTCTGATCATGGCATCCACCATCCATCAGAGACCTGCAAAGGCACTTGTCAACCAAAGCAGCTCCTCAATTGCAAGTGGAATAACTGGAGACTGCAAGGTGACTGGCATCATGCTTTGACATGCTTTGACTTTGTACACAGTCCTGCGTATAAGCTGCGTGAGCTGAGATGTGTCACGGCTCAGCGCCGCCTCGCCGCAGATGTTCCTCGAAGATGACCAGTGAGAGTGCATAGTGAGCTGTGACAGGTCTCACATTCAACTGTTTCTGTGCAGGGCATCCAATTCCTTGGGGTTTCGTTGTCAGTTCACGCTTGCAGTCCCAGACCAGCGGTACAGTATCCATTGTACAAACTCAAGACCTCTAGAAGCCTGGGCCAGAAGAACTGTCAGTGCGAGTCCCACGGAGTGCCCAAAGAGTTGCTGGCACACTTAGCTTGGTTCTTTTCTTGATCAATTCGACTTGGTCCCCAGCGCGGACGCATGCTGCATTGGCAGATAGCACTGTCTTGAACGCGTACATCGGTGCTAACTTTCAGCACTTCCTCAAGGGAGTCGGCGTCGAGTGCGAGGCGGTTGATTCGGTGAGGCAGCTGGACCCGCCGGCTGAGGCCTAAGGCCTGATGAGAGGTGAGAGGTGGATCGTGTCAGGGCAACATTCTGATCAGCGTATTCCGTCCTTCATGCTGGGAAGTGCATTCAACTGTATGTTGTTTGGGGGCTTCTTGTTGGCCACTTTGAATATCTGCTCTGAGATCACGATTGCACCGTGTTTTTTTCAGACGGCAGTTTGGTTTGGCTTGCGTCCAATCTGTCCATACAAGTTTCTTGAGCTTGCGATGCGCGCCTGACAAGCGCTCGGAGCGTCGAGGCATATGCTGTTCTTAGCAAACACGTGCATTCTTGAGCAAAAGCGTGCGCCTGCGTAGGCTGGACTCAATAGCCAGTACTTGTAGTAACAAGAGTTTGCTGCCGCCCACCGCTAAGCATCAACTTGCTCTCCACGACTCGCCACAGCTCATGCTCAGTGCAGTCACGTAGGTGGACGTCTCAACTCCGCTAACTTTCAGCAAGCAGCATGTCCGATTCGGCGGTGGCCTCCCCTGCTGTGTTCAGATATCCCAGTCCTGCTGCGCTGAGCCTGACCCAAACGAGAAGCCTGGAGATGGTTTCCAGAGCCTTCGACGAGTTCAACATTGTGAATGCATTGCTCAAGGTGGACATGGAGGACTGGACCGTCAAACCGGAGAAATGGGAATCGTTCGTGACACGATATGCGGATGGGTTGGAAGATGCAGCGGACCGGCGCCGCGTGCTCCTGTGGTTAGATGCCGAATCGGGCAAGAAGGCCGGCGTCAACATCAACCCCGACTACAATGAAAAAACGAACACCTTCGACTTCACGGTTCGTGCGTTCAAGGAAATGGAAGATGGCAAGTTCCGAGTTATGGAAGGCAAAGTGAAATCGATTTACAAGGTCAGGCACAAGGACATCAAGCGGGGACTCTTTGGAGCTGTCAAAGACTTCTTTACGGGCACGGTGGCGGGTCACGAGACTGAGCAGGACAAGCGGGATGAGCTAGAGACAAACCTTCATGCTGCATTGGCAGATAGCACTGTCTTGAACGCGTACATCGGTGCTAACTTTCAGCACTTCCTCAAGGGAGTCGGCATCGAGTGCGAGGCGGTTGATTCGGTGAGGCAGCTGGACCCGCCGGCTGAGGCCTAAGGCCTGATGAGAGGTGAGAGGTGGATCGTGTCAGAGCAACATTCTGATCAGCGTATTCCGTCCTTCGTGCTGGGAAGTGCATTCAACTGTATGTTGTTTGGGGGCTTCTTGTTGGCCGCTTTGAATATCTGCTCTGAGATCACGATTGCACCGTGTTTTTTTCAGACGGCAGTTTGGTTTGGCTTGCGTCCAATCTGTCCATACAAGTCTCTTGAGCTTGCGATGCGCGCCTGAAGCGTCGAGGCATATGCTGTTCCTAGCAAACACGTGCATTCTTGAGCAAAAGCGTGCGCCTGCGTAGGCTGGACTCAATAGCCAGTACTTGTAGTAACAAGAGTTTGCTGCCGCCCACCGCTAAGCATCAACTTGCTCTCCACGACTCGCCACAGCTCATGCTCAGTGCAGTCACGTAGGTGGACGTCTCAACTCCGCTAACTTTCAGCAAGCAGCATGTCCGATTCGGCGGTGGCCTCCCCTGCTGTGTTCAGATATCCCAGTCCTGCTGCGCTGACATGGAGGACTGGACCGTCAAACCGGAGAAATGGGAATCGTTCGTGACACGATATGCGGATGGGTTGGAAGATGCAGCGGACCGGCGACGCGTGCTCCTGTGGTTAGATGCCGAATCGGGCAAGAAGGCCGGCGTCAACATCAACCCCGACTACAATGAAAAAACGAACACCTTCGACTTCACGGTTCGTGCGTTCAAGGAAATGGAAGATGGCAAGTTCCGAGTTATGGAAGGCAAAGTGAAATCGATTTACAAGGTCAGGCACAAGGACATCAAGCGGGGACTCTTTGGAGCTGTCAAAGACTTCTTTACGGGCACGGTGGCGGGTCACGAGACTGAGCAGGACAAGCGGGATGAGCTAGAGACAAACCTTCATGCTGCATTGGCAGATAGCACTGTCTTGAACGCGTACATCGGTGCTAACTTTCAGCACTTCCTCAAGGGAGTCGGCATCGAGTGCGAGGCGGTTGATTCGGTGAGGCAGCTGGACCCGCCGGCTGAGGCCTAAGGCCTGATGAGAGGTGAGAGGTGGATCGTGTCAGAGCAACATTCTGATCAGCGTATTCCGTCCTTCATGCTGGGAAGTGCATTCAACTGTATGTTGTTTGGGGGCTTCTTGTTGGCCACTTTGAATATCTGCTCTGAGATCACGATTGCACCGTGTTTTTTTCAGACGGCAGTTTGGTTTGGCTTGCGTCCAATCTGTCCATACAAGTCTCTTGAGCTTGCGATGCGCGCCTGACAAGCGCTCGGAGCGTCGAGGCATATGCTGTTCTTAGCAAACACGTGCATTCTTGAGCAAAAGCGTGCGCCTGCGTAGGCTGCTCCGAGTTAGAGCACCCAGGTGATGTTCGTGGCCCTGGGATCGTTGCTGTGGCACGGGCGGCGGAGGCCAATGCACGGGAACTCGAAGGTTGAGGGCTTGGGATTTAGGGTTTAGGGCTCAGGCTGTGTCCAGGCAGATTCTCCTTTGCGTGTATACTAACACCCTAAACCCTAAACCCTAAACCCTAAACCCCAAACCCCAAACCCTAAACCTAAACCCGAAACCCGAAACCCTAAACCCTAAGCCCTAAACCTCAAACGGCAATCTCAAAAACTTGAATGGGAGGCAGAAAGTCATGCCCGATGAGGCCAAGGGCGCCCGGTGGCTTAGGCTCTGTTCTGGGCAGTTGGTTTAAAGGTTTTGGGGTTTTCGGGTCTAGGGTTGAGGGTTTTAGGGTAGTTTCGTGTTTGGGGGTTTAGGGTTTAGGAGTTTAGGGGTTTTTAGGGTTTTCTAGCGTTGAAAATACCCTAAACGTTCTGGACAGGGTTTTAGGGTTTAGGGTCTAGGGTTTTTTGGGGTTCAGGAGTTGAGGGTTTTTTTGGGTTTAGGGTTGCTTTAGGATGCAGCTTGCATGTGCATTCGTAGAGAAAGTTGTGGAGGTCTAGAGGAAGCTTACGGAGCCTTAGGGAGTTGTCGGGAGTACTAGGGGACCTTGGGTTACATACCCTCCTTGAACCCCCCTCCCTTAAGAACACTATAAGAAGGTTACCCTATATAATCCCTTAAAGGGTATATATAGAGCCCTAATTCCTTCATTCCCTACTCAGAACCATGGGGAGAAGGTGGGGGCCATTCGCAGATTCACGTTACTTGCGAGAGCTGCTCGCTGCGGAAATCTCCTCTGGGCATCTCTAAGCCCACGCCTCGACTTGGACAACCTAAACCCGAAACCCACCCTAAACCCTGAACCCTAAACCTAAACCCTGAACCCTAAACCCTGAACCCCAAGCCCTAAACCCTAAACCTCAACCTTAGACTCTAAACCCTAAGCCCTAAACCTAAACCCTCAACTTGTCTGTTAATATCCGATGAATCTTCGAGTAAGGCCTGGACAGACGGGCAGCGCTTGCAGCTGGGAGCCCGGTCTTGGTCCGTGGCGCACCACGCAGCGTTTTTGGGCGCAGGGGTTCAGGGTTTAGGGTTCAGGGTTTGGGGTTTAGGGTTGAAGGTTTAGGGTTGAGGGTTGAGGGTTTGGGGTTTAGGGTTGAGGGTTTAGGGTTGAGGGTGGAGGGTTTGCAAGCCGAATCCAGGAGCCCTAAACCCTGATTTCGCGCTTGGGATCAGAGTTTAATACATGTAGTTTCTTTCTTTTTAAATCGATAAGTGAATAATACATGCATATATACAGATGTTCACTGTTAAAAGCGATATTCTTGATGTTCATGAATATTCAATATTCCCTATTCGTTCCACTTGAATACATTTTTCTGTTCATTAACTACCATCGAATGCGACGTGACAACCTTAAAACTATTTTCATTAGCCCTAATAGCCCTAGTCACCCTAATAGCCCTAATAGCCCTAATAACCCCAATAACCCTAATAACCCTAATAGCCCCAACAGCCCTAATAGCCCTAGTATGGTTCCATAGTTGGGAGTTGTCGGGCATTCTCACATGGAGCTGTGACTCTGAACCCAAAGCCAAGCCCTAAACCCTGAACCCTAAACCCTAAACCCTAAACCCTAAACCCTAAACCCTAAACCCTAAGCCCTAAGCCCTAAACCCTAAACCCCAAACCATAAACCCTAAACCCTAACCCCTAAACCCTAAACAGGTACCCCTGGGATAGCCTCGCCGACAGCCTGGCGAGCGGCTTAGTGGCTCAGGCTGCCCTACCCCTCGTTGACTTTCAGCTTGCGCTTGTCAGTTTAGGGTTTAGGGTTTAGGGTTTAGGGTTTAGGGTTTAGGGTTTAGGGTTTAGGGTTGAAAACCTACAAACCAATCCCAAGGCCAAGATGATCTGGTCTCCCGACGCGAAAGGTCATGGGAAATTTGAGGAGGACTGGTGGACAGCTATAGGACGTCTTAGGACGCCTAGGTCTAGGGTTTATCGAAGCGTAGTTATGTGGTCCCTTGGTTTAGGTTTCATAGGGGTCAAGGGACCATGCAACTACCCTAAACCCTGAAACCCTAAACCCAGACCCTAGACCCTAAACCCTAAACCCTAAACCCTAAACCCTAAACCCTAGACCCTAAAACCCTAAACCCTAAACCCTAAACCCTAAACCCTAAACCCTAAACCCTAAACCCTAAACCCTAAACCCTAAACCCTAAACCCTAAAACCCTAAACCCTAAACCTAAACCCTAAAACCCTAAACCCTAAACCCTAAACCCTAAACCCTAAACCCTAAACCCTAAACCCTAAACCCTAAACCCTACAGAAGCACCACAAGCTCCGGGAAGCCGAGCGGCTGACAGGACCTCCATGCTCCAACGACGCCGACGGGGCTTCGTGGGGGTCTTTGCACCCAGCGCTGGGGGGGGGGGGGGGCTTAAGGTAGGGTTTAGGGTTTAGGGTTTAGGGTTTAGGGTTTAGGGTTTAGGGTTTAGGGTTTAGGGTTTAGGGTTTAGGGTTTAGGGTTTAGGGTTTAGGGTTTAGGGTTTAGGGTTTAGGGTTTAGGGTTTAGTTTAGGGTTTAGGGTTTAGGGTTTAGGGTTTAGGGTTTAGGGTTTAGGGTTTAGGGTTTAGGGTTTAGATCTTCGGGTTCAGGGTTTAGGGTTTAGGGCGGGCTTGAGAGTGGTTTTTAGGAGGGTTTGGGGTTCAGTAGGGGGTTCTGACGGTTTTGGGTAAGCCCCAGGCCCTGAACCCTAGAACTCCAAACCCTCAACCCTGAAACAACCCCAAAATAATTACCCTAAACCCAACCTTACAATCTCTAAAGCCTAAATCCTAAACCCTAAGCCCTAAATCCTAAACCCTACGCCCTAAACCCTAAATCCCTCAACCCTCAATCCCAAAGCCCTCAAACCCTCGAACCTAAACCCTAAACCCTAAACCCTAAACCCTAGACCCTAAACTCTAAACCCTAAACCCTAAACCCTAAACCCTAAACCCTAGACCCTAAACCCTAAAACCCTCAGATCGTGGCTCCGTGGTGGCCCAGTCGCCCGATGCCTCGCCGTCGGCGGCGAACTCGCTGCCGATCGGCAAGACACCTCTGGGGGTTTAGGGTTTAGGGTTTGGGGTTTGGGGGTTAGGGTTTGGGGTTTAGGGTTTAAGGTTTGGGGTCTGGAGTTGAGGGTTTGGGATGGCGTGTTTTGGGTTTCTGGGGGTTGCTGCGAATCGTGGGTTTTGGGTTCTGGTCGTGGGTGTTGGGCTTCGGGGTTGGGGTGGGTCCTTCGGTTGGTGGGCGAGACATCTGGTTTGATGAATGGTCCAATAGAAATGGGGAAACGGATCGCTCTGGGGTTTTCTCTTCGGGGATCAGTGGATCTGTCCCCGGGCTCTGCGTTCCCAGTTGCAGTTGCGGCGCAGGAAATTCTTATGCCTTATACTAGCAGTCCGTAATAGGGATTATAGTACCCCCTAAACCCTAAACCCTAAACCCCAAACCCTAAACCCTAAACCCTAAACACTAAAACCTAAACCCAAAACCCAAAACCCTAAACCCTAAACCCTAAACCCTAAGCCCTAAGCCCTAAACCCTAAACCCTAAACCCACATCCCAACTTATGCCTTGCATGGCCAGCTTTGGATACCTGAGGTCTGGTTCGCTGGGCTCCGAAGCTGGGCAGGCGGTCGCTGCCGCAGCATCGCAGGTGCACCCCAGGATACTCATGGGTTTACGGTTTAGGGTTTAGGGTTTAGTGTTTAGGGTTTAGGGTTGTGGCATTCGGATCACGAGGGCCCATTCGGGTGTAGGCGGTTTCAGGGTTTTCGGTCAGATTTACGGTGCCAACGGGCTGAATCAGACTAGGCCATTCAAGTGCCCCATGTGTGCGAGGTGAGAACCTCCTCAACCCTGACGGCAGCCGCAGCCCACATGCGATCGTGCCAGGCCTGCTGTAGGCTATCCGTCCCAAGTGTGTCAGCAGTTCCGCTAGGGCTGTGCTTTAGTTTGTGCTCGGATGAGATTCAGGCCAGCGGTGGCAGTGAAGATGGGAGTACATTGAGTACAAGGCCCTCGAGCGGCAACTCGCAGCAGGCACAGGCCCCGGAGCCTCCACAGCTCGCTACGCAACCGGTCGCACTGCCACTGCCTCGGTCCCCGATGCGACGCATGGACTGGCCCGAAGCCAACCCCACGGCCACCACATCGGAACTTCGCTCCACGGCCTCGTTTGGAAGCTTCGACGGCACGCCCAAGCGCTGGGAGTTGGCGATGCCCCCCAGCACAACGCCTCCCCCGAGGTCACCACCCCGGGCACAGGCTGCTGGGCAGCACAGCATGCGATGGTACGTCGTCCCAGGATCCCTTATTCCTTTTTGGTAGAGCTTGGTTCACATATGAGCCCCTTCCCAAAAGCGCACCCTGTTTATTCCTAGGTTGCTTGTGGGTTCAGAGTCCTGTGTAGTCGTGACATCCCCACATGAAGCTCAGGTGGCAGCAGTTCGTGTCCTTCGCAGAGCTCCAGAAGTTTCAGAGAGGGTGCAGATGTCGCCGCCACCATTGCCGCGTGACCGCACCCTGAACACTAGCCCTTGAACACCGGAAAACTTGCTTGGCAGTACTCATACGACTGCGTGTAAAATCCCCAAGATGTGGCAGTTTTTAGAAATTGGCGGCTGGCAGAGTAAATGTTGAGCTAGAGCCCGTGGAAAAAGAGCTAGAGCCCGTGGAAACAAGGCCAACGCTCCCGCCCACTGCACCTCGGCAGATGAAGTTTCGCTTGTGCGCTGTGGTTGTTCACAAAGACGGCTCTTATGCTCTGTTGTTTGTGCAGCCGGAATCTGGGCAGATGGTTTGAGCCGAAAAGTACGAAAGGGCAGCCTGCATTGTTGAAAGGGTGCTTGCATGAAGCAGCTTTGCTACACACTGTGCGGGGCTTTTCTGAAAAGGTTTCTGTGCGTTCATGTGAAGCTGTCTGTATCAGCTCGCTGTTGCAAATCAGCGGAAGCCCTAAACCCTAAGCCCTAACCCCTTCATGTTGTTGTTTGGCCTCATTCCTTATGAGAACGCCAACACTTCCCGGAACTGAAGGCAGTGAGGATACCTGGCCGAAAGGGCAGCACGACGCAGGAGCCTTGATGCAGCTCATGTGGAGGGTTTCGGGTTTGGGGTTTGGGGTTTGGGGTTTAGTTTGGGGTTTAGGGTTGGTGGTTTAGGGTCTAGGGTTTAGGGGCCCTAAATCCCTAAACCGAGTGCGAGAGAGAGGGAGCCACAGGTGATCCAGCCAGAGTGAGAGTGATAGCGAGCGATCAAGCGAGGTGGTCAGTTGCATTCCGTCAACAGGGGTCCAAGACATGGCCGGTTGGCAGAAGGGTTTCGGGCTTAGTTAAGCCCGAGTTACACAAATTTGGGGCCACCGATCCTCCATTTTTGCCCATAGGCCCCTAAGGTAGGGATTGAGGGTCTAAGGTAGCCTACACAAAAATTACGGGGGCCACTGTACCCTCCATTTTGGCCCATAGGCCCTGAGGTAGGGATTGAGGGTTTAAGGTAGCCAGGTAGGGACTGAGGGTTTAAGGTAGGGAGCAGCTCCGACACGGACTCGCAAGGCTTTTAAGGGTGTAGGATTTGGGGTTTAGAGTTTAGGGTTTAGGGGTTTTAATGGGCTTAAGTATGAGTCCCTGAGAATCCTTGCAAGGTCGGCGTTTGTCAGGTTTTAGGGTTCGTTTGGGTTATTTTGGGCTTTTGCGGGGTATCGGCCTAGGGGCAATGAGGAAACCGCTGATAGGTACATGATCAGACCCAATGAGGACCGTGGTGAGGTCCTTCCTTCTCCCTACCCCATGAAGAACCCTCATGTTGAGGGGACTCACCCTAAACCCTAAACCCTAAACTCTAAACCCTAAACCGCAAGCGTTGCAGGAGCCACCAGAATCAGAGCGGAGCAGAGCCAGCTCCTGGGAGGCGTCAAGGACAGGAGTTTCGGGTTTGGGCCCGGGGTTTAGGGTTTAGGGTTTAGATTTAGGGTGTTGACTTAGGTTTAGGGTTTAGGATTTAGGCTTATCCTAGCAACTGGGGGGTTTCCGAAAGAAGGGGAATGGAAGTGGGGAACTGGGTTTAGGGTTTAGGGTTTACGATAATCGGGATACCTTATTGGGCGTGCTGATTATTCGGGAATCCCACTATTTGGGGTCTATATTAAGGGTTCCCTTATCTTTGTAAACCCCCACTTCGGGTGTGCTCCAAGTACCCTAAGCCCCATAAACCTGAAGGCCTGAATACCGAAACGCAGGCGGGTGCAATTTGAGCAGTAGGATCCGCTTGCCTCGCGGGGGCTTTGGCGGTGTTGCTTTGGGAGGTTCGCTTCTGGGACCAACACCTGGTGTTGATCTAAGCGCCCAGAACGGTTTAGGGGTTTAGGGTTTGGAGTTTAGAGTTTTGGGGTTTAGAGTTGAGGGTTTTGGGGTTTAGGTTTAGGGCGCTTTCCGCGAGCTTTTGGTTTTATACCCAGCCCTGCCGCGCGGGTCTGCACATGGCTGTGTTTCTGTCATTATGTCGTCCTCTTGCGCAAGGCAGTGAACCTTTTCAAGGTCGCGGGCCAGGTCAGAAACCCAAACTCCACACTTCCGGGGCGCTAACACCGCCAACCTTATTCCCTAAACCCCGAAACCCTCAAACCCCAAAGCCCCTCTAAGCCCTCAACCCTTAAACCTCAGCCCCTCAACCCTCTGAACCCTAAACACCCTAAACCCCAAACACCCTAAACCCCAAACACCCTAGACCCTAAACCCTAAACTCTGAACCCTAACCCCGAAGCTCCTAAGCCCCCAAGCCCCACCTAAACCCCTTAACCCCTCTGGAGGACGCCGCCGGTTTCACAAACCCCTCGCAGCGAGGGAGACAAAGAGCCTCCGCCCGGCGTCCTCAGGCTCCGAGGGTTTTGGGGGTGTGGGGTTCAGGATTTTACGGTCTTAGGGTTTTAGGGTTTAGGGTTTAGGGTTTTAGGGTTTTAGGGTTTAGGGTCTGAGCCCTTGGCCGAGTGGTGAACTAAACCGCCTAACGCATAAACCCTAAACCCTAAACCCTCAACCCTAAACAACACTAGTGCAACCTGGACTTCACAACTCCCACACCCAACTCTCTTCAAGGAAAGGGATGTGTAGCCGCAGGAAGAGAGTCCCCCAAGTCTTCTCGGGCGTGTTCATATACCAACAGTTGCATATACCCTAAACCGCCAAAACCCTAAACCGCCTAAACCGCCGAAACCCTAAACCCTAAACCCTAAACCCTAGACCCCAAACCCTAAAACCTAAACCCGAACCCCTAAACCCTAAACCCTTAACCCCACGAGCTCTCTTCCCCCACCCCTCCCCAGCGTCAAAGCGGCACACCGCAGGCACGTTGTGCGGACGGTCGCCGTAGCCAAAGCCTCGAGAAGCTCACCAAGTCTGCGTCCCAGCCAACCGAAATTTAGGGTTTTGGGTTTAGGGCTTAGGGTGTAGGGTTTAGGGGTTTAGGGGTTTAGGGGTTTAGGGGTTTAGGGGGTTTAGGGGGTTTAGGGGTTCATAGGGGTTCATAGGGGTTCATAGGGCAGGGCTTCATAGGGCTTCATAGGGCTTCATAGGGCTTCATAGGGCTTCATAGGGCTTCATAGGGGTTTAGGGTTTGCTATCCTGGAGATGTTTGGGGTTTGATGTTCCGGGCTCGGTGCAATGTTCTGAGGGCTTACAGGTATCGTGGGGAATGGTTTCATTCTCCGCCTCCTCCCGTCTACATGCAGCTCTTGAAGTCCTGCCCACGGGCCACCTTGAGCGTGGTGCATCAAAAGCCCTAAGCCCTAGACTACTGAGCCCCAAACTCTCGGAGCCCTGGGCCCCTAAACCCTAAACCCTAAACCCTAAACCCTAAACCCCAAACCCGAAACCCTAAACCCTAAACCCTAAACCCTAAACCCTAAACCCTAAACCCTAAACCCTAAACCGTGGCTCCAAACTCTCGGAGCACTTGAGCCCTCCTCAAGCGCGAAGGGCCCTGTGCAGGTGATGCAGAGGCTGGTGGGCGGCAAGCTGCCTCAGCAGCGAGGCGGGTGACCTTATTTGGAGGGGCACTTCGTAAGTACCTCTGGGATGCCCAGTAGTGCCCTTGTTCCCTTTTTGGGGGCTCTAGGTTCCCCTATAAAACCCCTTTAAGAAAAGAAGGGCACCCTTTTTAATCCTAGGTTACTGGGCAACCTAGACCTTAATTGGGCTGTAAGTATATATAAGCACAGCTACCTTACTTTATAACCCCACTTCCTAGGTCCCCCGATCCTTTAAGTAGTGCAAAGCCACCGAAGCTCCTGGTGCAAGTTGGGCACCTCCAGCGCTTGTGTGTGTGACCGGATCCGTCTTGTTCAAGAAATCTTAACCTCCTGAAGCGAGGCATGTGTGACTGCGCGTGCGCCGGCGCCGGGTGTGTGTGAGAGAGAGAAGGTTATGTAGAAATCTTCACCACGACCCGAATCATTTGTGTGCATGTGAAACCTTGTGACAACGCACTCTTCGCGCATGAAAGAACACGAAAACCCCAAAATGGGGAGGCAACGTGAACTAGGCGCGCAGGTGGTGTGCGCAGAACATGGGCAAACCTGAGCCCTAAACCCCATTCACACCCGGTTCAAGTTGCGAAGATGCTTCAGAAAAAGGTTTTGGGCTTGCCTCTAAACCTCCTAAACCTCCTAAACCCCAAACCCTAAACCCTAAACCCTAAACCCCAAACCCTAAACCCTAAACCCTAAACCTCAAACCCCAACCCCAAACCCACAACCACGCACCCTCAGAGCACCACAAAGGTGACGTGCCTTGCAGACACAGGACCTCGAAGAGGCGCAGGATGGTTGAAGGGTTTAGGGTTGAGTTAGGGTTTAGGGTTTAGGGTTTAGGGTTTAGGGTTTAGGGTTTAGGGTTTAGGGTTTAGGGTTTAGGGTTTAGGGTTTAGTGCTTAGTGCTTAGGGTTTAGAGTTTAGGGTTTAGTTAGGGTTTAGTGCTTAGGGTTAGGGTTTAGTTAGGGTTTTGGGTTTTGGGTTTTGGGTTTCGGGTTTAGGGTAGCTTTTGGGGGGTTTGACGTTTCCGGGCTTTGGGCTAGAGGACCTTTTTTTGGGGTGCGGGCGGGGCGGGGGGGGGGGGGGGGGGGGGGGGGGGGGGGGGGGGGGGGGGGGGGGGGGTGAATGGCCTGTGGTTCACATTACTAAGAAACGAAGCCGCTAAAGCTCGCAGGTTGTAGGTTCAAGGCTCCTGGGGGTTCAGGGTGTTGTGCTCTTTTCGTTTTATCAGCCTACGGTAGGGACCACTTTGATCCTTGTTGATGAGAGGCCAGACGCCAGAGACATATTTGGGGGGGGGGGGCCCTAGCTGCAGGTGCCTCTCCAAGGTCGTCTTCAGAGATGGCCTGAAGGGACTCTCCGCAAGAGGAGGCGTTGTAACCGAAGGAATCGATGCCAAGGCAACTGACCTCCGTTGTGGTCAGGTTGATGCAGCCTCTTGCTTTCTGCTTCCTTCCCGATGCCTCCTCTTGTTTTTCATAAAGGGGCCGCTTCTGCCTCGTCCGCAGGGTTCAGCAAGACAGGGAAGTGTGCCAGGCATTGTTGAGCCCTAAACCCTAAACTGTAAACCCCAAACCCTAAGACCTAAACCCTAAACCCTAAGCCCTAAACCCTAAACTCTCGGGGGCTCGGCCCTGATTTTCAATTCTCACGAGGTCGAGGTGTGGCTAGATTGGGGCTTGCTGACCACACGTGCTGGCAAACCCGTGCAACAGTGCAACGGAGGTCTTGCACTTCCAAAAATGTCTTCATCAAGGAAGCCCACAACCCAAAAGCCTCCAACCTCAACCCAAAGCCCTTAAAGTCCAAACCCAAGTCAGATGCGATATCACGAAGACATGCCAGACGGTTAAGGTTTAGGGTTTAGGGTTTAGGGTTTAGGGTTTAGGGTTTAGGGTTTAGGGTTTAGGGTTTAGGGTTTAGGGTTTAGGGTTTAGGGTTTAGGGTTTAGGGTTTAGGGTTTAGGGTTTAGGGTTTAGGGTTTAGGGTTAGGTTTAGGGTTTAGGGTTTAGGGTTTAGGGTTTAGGGTTTAGGGTTTAGGGTTTAGGGTTTAGGGTTTAGGGTTTAGGGTTTAGGGTTTAGGGTTTAGGGTTTAGGGTTTAGGGTTTAGATCACGAAGACATGCCAGGAATAGTGCAGATTGCTTTCTCACCATGTCATGGCCTCGCCTTACACTGGCTCCGGCCCATGACGCTGTACAGACACCACAGGGGCGCTGGGACGTGGAGGCTTTGACTTCGGTTCCCATTCTTTCAGAAGGGCTTAGGGTTTAGGGTTTAGGGTTTAGGGTTTAGGGTTTAGGGTTTAGGGTTTAGGGTTTAGGGTTATAAGAGGTTGCCCGATGGAAGTTGCTACAAGAATAGAGTACTACAACGATGATCACATAAGCATGCAATCAAATAAATCATAAAGCCATACAAGGAGGGAATTGGACTAAGACAATGATAGAATCATGTCAAAGTATACTAATCAAAGATTATAGCAATATAGTACAGATGTAGATATGTTTTTGCTTCTATAGTAAAAAATACTATAACAAAATGTGTTCAGATGCTTGCTGCTGCTGCTGATGATTTCGTGCGTGCTGTGATCAAGTTTAGCGTCTTCGTGCGCAGCTACATGTCATCTTTGCGACTGTTGCGATCATTGTTGCGACCTTAAGCCCTGAATCCAGAGCCCAAAACCCCCAAACCCAAAACACTAAACCCTAAGCCCAAAACCCCCAAACCCAAAACACTAAACCCTAAGCCCCAAACCCCTAAGCCCCAAACCCTAAACCCCTAAACCCTAAACCCTAAACCCTAAACCCTAAACCCTAAACCCTAAACCCTAAACCCTAAACCCTAAACCCTAAACCCTAAACCCCAAACCCTAAACCCTAAACCCTTGCATCTCTAAGCCTCCACGCCTCCCTGGGGAGCCGGTGCTCTGCCTCACTGCCCGCACGGGCGACTCCTCCGGCAAGCCGTTCCTACTTGGCTGGGGAGTTTAGGGTTTAGGGTTTAGGGTTTAGGGCCTAGGGTTTAAATTCATAGTTTAGGGAGTTTTTGTGGCTTTTCCCTAGCATTTGTTATTTGGGGTTTAGGGAGTTTCTGTGGCTTCGCCGTAGCATCTGTTGATCCGGCACTCACTATGAGAGCCCCAGCAGGCAGGTTGTTCAACAAGGTCGTACTGAGGGCATCAGGCTACATCACGGGCCCTACCACCTGAGTATGAACATGAATATGACTCAACGAGAGTCTGCACTGGAACAGCGGTTGTATGCCAAGGCGCAAGCAGGATTCCCATTAATTGGTTTGTGTGAAATGAACAAGTGGGATCAAAATTAGAAGCCTTTCGCTTCTGATTTCGCTGGACCGTCGCACCACCACAGTCGGGATCAAGTCAGGGTCATTGCGGACATTCTTGCTTCTGATGATGATCGCCTCCTTCTCCAGGACCAGGAGTGGGCCCTTATTCCCTTCCTTTAGGGTTTAGGTTCTCTGATAATCCCCTTTAATTTAAAGCAAAATGGCGTGAGTCTAGTTCTCGTTCCTTAGTGCTCACGACGTTGCCACCGCAATTTGTTCACCGGAGTTGCCTCCGCATGTCCAACTTAGATTCAGTATCTGCAGCTCTGATAGCAGTCCATTCTCAAGATTTTGGGCCCTTCTGGGGTGCCCTGTATATAAGGAAGTGTAGTGAGATGCAAGAAGGGACCACGATGTAGAGAACCCTAAGCCCTAAACCCTAAACCCTAAACCCTAAACCCTAAACCCTAAACCCTAAACCCTAAACCCTAAACCCTAAACCCTAGACCCTAGACCCTAAACCCTAAACCCTAAACCCTAAACCCTAAACCTCCCACGTGTAGCTGGAACGGCTCAGGTTAATTTGCACGCGTCTGCAATTTAGCTTTTGCGCCAGACGGGTATGTGCCAGCATTGTCCTCGCGAGGCAGCCTTGCTTGCAACGACCCCTGCAGCGCGGGGTTTAGGGTTTAGGGTTTAGGGTTTAGGGTTTAGGGTTTAGGGTTTAGGGTTTAGGGTTTAGGGTTCAGGGTTCAGGGTTTAGGGTTTAGGGTTTAGGGTGAGCTACTTGTGGCACATACCCAGGTAGATCGACCAAGCCCCGCGTACCAGTAAACATCGTGCGATGAAACTGCAGCTCGGAGCAGATTGTGCCGACACCGCTTGAACCACACGCATCTTTGTGTGCATCCCCTCTCTGAGCCGGAGTAGGGAAGGCAAAGGCCTTGCGTGCACGGCAGCTGTATATCAATATTGTAATATCTACGTATTCAGATGAATGGAACGCAGGAAGTCTTAGGATGCTCACGGCTGCTTGCGCAGAGGCAGTCGGAGAGTCTGTCGCGAAGCCTATGTGGTGTGGCCCCGAGGTTTGGGGTTTCAAACTGGAGCTTACCGTAGGAAGCATGGAACCACGGACACTGTACCTTTCGTCCCTGAAAGGGACTGTAGGTTCCCATTTTAGAATGGTTTAGGGTTTAGGATTTAGGGTTTAGGGTTTAGGTTTTAGGCTTTAGGGTTTAGGGTTTAAGATTTAGTGCTTAGGGCTTAGGATTTAGTATTTTTGTATGTCATGGTTTAGGGCTTAAGGTTTAGTTACTTGTCTTCGGTTTAGCAGTTTCTCAGACACCGGGGTCATGTGTCCCGCAACTTCTTCTTGTTCTGTCTGACCCGGGAATAGTCTTGCGCAGAGCCCTGAACCCTAAACCCTAAACCCCAAACCCGAAACCCTAAACCCTAAACCCTAAACCGTAAACCCTTAACCCCAGGTACTACGAGAACAACCTCGTTGCGACCATCAACATTCTCAAGTCCATGGTCACCCATGGTTGCAAGCACGCCCTCCTCCCCTGGCTCTGAGTCGGGAATGAGGGAACCAGGGCCCTTCCCTTAAAGGGTATATGTAGGGCCCTATACACTCCCTTCAAGGGTATAGGGATTTATTGGGCCCTACTTTACTTCCTTAGAAGGTATATATATATATATATCTACATATACAGAACTAAATAAAAATAGATGAAAAATTATGTATATACATGTATATATGGCCCTATGAACCCAATTCCCTACTAGGAGCCAGCCAGTTTTGCCCTCCCCGCAGTAGATGCATCACTGAAGCCGGATTTTGGTTTCGGGCACTTGGGGGAGGGTTCCTACTTTCTGACTCTACAAAAAGGGAACCCCGGGAGTGGTTTAGGGTTTCGGGTTTGGGGTTTAAGGTTTAGGGTTGAGGGTTTAGGGTTTAGAATCATGCAAGCAGCTCACGTATCCGAGCGCTGCTCCCGACTGCAGCTTGCCAGGCTCAGGCCGGATCCTGCCTAAGAGGCATTGAGGGTGTAAGGGTAGCACTGGAGCAAACGTAGAGAGCAGCAATATGGGGCGTGCCTCACCATTGTTTTGCAATCGAAGGTCATTATGCAAAATTATGTTCCCAGGCAGTCGAAGCAGATGCATCCCCAGTGTCGTTCAACACGATTCAGCACAGGAGTCTTGTAGGATCTGGTGGGCCTCGGAGGGAGGTGTTGCATCGAAAATGTCGGAAGTGGATGCCGACGTCTGGGCCTCGACGGGCGCAGCTCAGACTTTAGGCGATTTAGTGGGTTTCTTGCTGTTGCCATTGTGCCTGTTCACGGGGCGCCTGGCCAGTTTCTAATACCCTGAAGCTACCCTGACCCCGAAACTAACCCTAAACCCTAAACAACCCTGACGCCCTGAACCCTAAACCCTAAACCGTAAATCCTAAACC